TTGGTAATTGGAATCATTTCAAGGCCTGTTACTTTCCTATTCATCCCAAAGCCTTTCATTTTTCTTTCCCTTCAAATGTTCCTGATCTTTACTTTTCTTGTCCTTTCTTAAGTCTTTCCCCTTCAAATATTCCTGATCTTTACTTTTCTTGTCCTTTCTTATGTTTCCTTATCTTATCTTTCACATTCCTTTCTTAGATTCCTTATCTTTCCTTTCATTTTCTTTCATATAATTCGTATCTGTTATTCATATTTCATTCTTTTATTTCTTATCATTTCTTTTCTCTTCCTTTCTAATGTTTCCATGTCTATCTTTCCTTTCTTTTCTTTTCTCAGGTTTCCTTATAACATCATGTGACTTTTTTAGCAAGTCAATAATCCGATTAATCCTGGGACTGTGGATTTTGGCATCATTTGAGCTGCGGAGTGGAATCACATTCTCCTTAGGTCAATATCAAAATGAGGATATTTCTCTTGGAGAGATGAGAGCTCCCTGGACAGAGAGTATATTTCCCAACATTCATCTTCTTATTGCCTAGTCCTACTCTTTTCCGACAATTTGCCGTGACCTTTAACATATTCTCATCCGAGTTTTCAAGAAAACCTGCAATGATCATGCCAGTCCTGCTAATCTCATTCGGCCGATGGCCAACAAGCTCCACCATCACCACCACTTCATCTGCTATTCTGCTGCTATATAAATATTCACAACATTCTTGTCATGACGAGCCATGCTCTCTTGATGATTATCTTTTCCGCCGCACCACCATTCGTAATTTGCAGTTTCTCGTTGTCCTCATATAATCGTTTTTCAATTCAAAAGGTGCCTCTTGAATTAAATAAGTTCTCATAAGTACACCTTAATTTTCATCTAATTCCATAAGCGCCCCCTCAATTTCCACTCTGTTTTCATAAGCGCCCCGTTTGAATAAACGCCCCGTTTAAATAAGCACCCCTCAAAAAGGACAAAAAATATTTTAAGCGGTATTTATTCTTTTGTCAAAAATAATAAATTGTACAATATTCAATATATAAATGGGTCCGGGGCCAGAGATGATGTTCAACAGAGGTTGGTATTAGTATGGGTTACAAGAACGGAAGTGTTGATTATCAAATCACCCAAAAAGGTGCCCAATTCAAAGAACTACGCAATTAGGGCGACTAGAATCTAGAATAATGAATAATAATAATAATAATAATAATAATAATAATAATAATAATAATAATAATAATAATAATAATAATAATAATAATAATAATAATAATAATATAATACATCCACATAAAAAGAGGCATCAAAATCCATCATACATGAAATATTCTAAGAATAGGAAGAAAATTACACATTATAAGAACAGAAGCAGGAACTTCATATCATGGTTCAACACCAACACGTCCCACCCCGTACGGCAAAAGCGGCATCCATCCAACAAAAGGCATGCAGCTGTAGGCCTTATACCAAATAAAAATCCATTCTTCGTGGTAAATGCATGGTGTACAGAACAACCATAACATCCAACGAGGACCGAAAATCCTGCAAGGGACTATCAACTAAAACAAATCATTTTTGTCAATAGCTTGCGAGTACAGAGAGAGAGAGACACCGAGTAGCCATTATCGACTGGAAATATCACTTATTAAATGAAGAAAATAACAGAATATATAATTACTAATAATATTAGTCATGATTATATAACATATATTACATATATCCATTTAAACTACTGTAATTTCATTTCATTTATTTTGTCCAAAGAATATTAAAACTGACAAACACAAAATAACAGAGAAAGCTAGGAAAAACCAACACTAAATTGGCTGGACACAGGATTGCCAAAAAGTGAACTAAATTATTGTCTAGTGGCCCTCCGATGCCAAGGAGAACATAAATTAAATTAGCACAGAATGGTCAAGTAAAAATATCTATAAAATATATATAACAAGATATATTTGCTATTTAAAAAAAACGCCGCAACATCTTTAACTTATGACTGGTTTGTATTTCCAAACTTACCTCTCGAACCGTAGGCCTTTGATAGCCAAGGGCCTTTTCGACCAGAATTGTCATTATTATCCATTTTCATAGCCTCCATGATTGCTTTAGCTTGTGTTGAGCATGCCCAACTGTTGCATAAAAGAGTTCGATTTTTTCAATAACTAGTTCAAACATTTTTTTTTGCAGGCGCCGTTTGATTCCTTAGACGTTTTTTTATTTTTTTATTTTTTTGGTTTTATTGGTAAATGCACATGCTCGACATGGCTCGACAACGTCATTACTCAGTGCACATCCTCACTGGCTGTCTAGCATTTTCAAGCGCATGCTCACTGTGTTTACTGTCTCTTATACACATCTCCCAATCTCGGATTCACGGACGTTCTTTGGTAACTGCGCATGCGCATTGCCTAGTTCGTAAAATCATAAATGAAATTAGTCAACAGTTAATAAGATAAAAACAATAAAAATGAAAAT